TTTTCATCTTTTGTCTGAATAATTAAGATCCTTTTACACTGTGTGATTGTGATAAAAGCTTTAATGTTAATCCGATTTAATGGTCTATTACTATGAGAAGTCAGACCTTTTTTTTTTTTTTTCCCATCATGTCACACAATTTCTCAAATTTCTCAAATAAAAGCCTAGTTCAGTTAGAGGACAGACACTTTTAAAAACTAAATGCTCAATGCAGCGTGAATTGAATAGTAGACCATTACCCTCTCACATCAGTAGAGTCTTTAGAGCAGTGTAAATAATTGTCCCGAGCTGTTTGGTAATCATGTTAAATGTTTTCTGTAGCTCATCTAAGCGTGCTCAGGACAAAGAGAAGGAGTCTGCGCCCTCTCCTTCCATCACGCTGCAGCGGACGCCCAAATCAGAGCACCAGGGCCGCAAGCGGACGCTCAGCCAGTCCTCCGCCTCCGTACCCAACAGCAAGAGCAGCTCCAACTCCAAACACCGCAAAGGCGACGACAAGCCCTTACGCAGGGATGCCAAGGTGTGTTTGCGCTTGTGGCCCTCTGTATGCTGCCAGTGTTTACAGTCTCTGCCTTTTGCGCAACACGTGTATGTACAGTGACGTATGGAGGGTTTTGCAACACTTATGTAATAATGCAGTACTAAACTGACAGTTCTGTCCCGTCAGCCTCAAAGCAAGGAAAATTTCATATTTTTAATACGTGCATAGTTTTACAATCTACATAAATGCATATGTGCCACCTTTTCATTGTATTTGTGTGTGTCTATGTACATGCCTTTGCTTAGTATTTTCTAACTCTTTAGACTTTGTTTTGCCATAGCGAGGGCTTCTGCGAGTCTCAACTCAGAACAGCAAGTCTTAAATTCATAGTCATGTTATTAAATATTTCATGCATTTACAAAAAAAAATTTTTGTTTTCTAATAGAAACATCTAAACATTTACCTGAGGTGCAAATGTAAATCTTGAAAAATTGAACAAAATTAAAGTGTTTAAGCTTAAAACATCTGCCAGTGGGGAATGAAAACTTGTTTTCCATTTGAATTAAGTTGATTTTACTGAGCCAGTCAGCAGATATTTGTTTTTTGTTTCAGTCACAAACTCTTGATCGTCTTGGATCAGTTTCTCAGAAAGCTAGACTTCTTTTGTCATTATAAATGTATCTTGATTTACGAATCCTTAGACATTTATTAAGACTAGTTTTTTTTTTCTTCCCAGGAGAAAAGCTCTAAAACAGAGAATCCCATTGCAGTGCCGCCTCTCTCTGATGGCTCTAAATCTAGATCCAAACTCCTGTTTGAAGACCGGTATGGAGATTTTCATCTTTTGTCTGAATAATTAAGATCCTTTTACACTGTGTGATTGTGATAAAAGCTTTAATGTTAATCCGATTTAATGGTCTATTACTATGAGAAGTCAGACCTTTTTTTTTTTTTTTTCCCATCATGTCACACTGAGAAGCCACACCCAAATTGAAAAAAAATATATATATTCCTTAAGAAATTTCTCAAATAAAAGCCTAGTTCAGTTAGAGGACAGACACTTTTAAAAACTAAACGCTCAATGCAGCGTGCCGAACCGTGCACCACGGAGCAGGAGTCAGATTTGATTTATCACGTGAGGAGAGTGAGTCGAGCTGACTGACAAGAGCGAGGAGAGACAGACAAGACGATGGCAGAAGATTGTTTAGAAAGGAAACGCAAAGGTGTCTGTTTGGCAATATTTTAGATTTTAAAAAACCTATTGACTGGTTATTATTTATTTGGTTCCACAGTGTTTGCTGATTACTTTATTTAAACTTTGTGTATTTTATTTTACATCAAGGTGTATATGCCGTGCCTCCAAGCTTTCTTATTCGTTTTGCTAATAAACGTTCTATGTTTCTTATTTATTTGGTTCCACAGTGTTTGCTGATTACTTTATTTAAACTTTGTGTATTTTATTTTACATCAAGGTGTATATGCCGTGCCTCCAAGCTTTCTTATTCGTTTTGCTAATAAACGTTCTATGTTTCTTATTTATTTGGTTCCACAGTGTTTGCTGATTACTTTATTTAAACTTTGTGTATTTTATTTTACATCAAGGTGTATATGCCGTGCCTCCAAGCTTTCTTATTCGTTTTGCTAATAAACGTTCTATGTTTCTTATTTATTTGGTTCCACAGTGTTTGCTGATTTTCAGTTTTATATACCTGTTTAAATTGTGTAGCCCAAGTAATTTTATTAGGCATATATGGTGTATTTTTATTCGTTTTGTTAATAAAAGTTATGAGTTTGACATTGTTGCTTGAATTGAATCGACACCGAATTGCCGCTAATTTGAAAGTGAAAGTAAAACGCGCACAGCACTTTTTCCAAGCTATTTTAAAGCCAAGAAATCCGAGGAAAAGAGGGAAAACTCAAACGAACAATTGCTTGGTGCCGAATTGCGGCACTTTTACAAGCCATTTGAAAGCTAAGAAAAGCGGGAAACTCAAACGAACTAACAGCCCCCTCCCACCCCCACGGTGATACCGGTATTACCGGTGTTGTCACACGTCGATTAACCGGTGGGAACATTTCCTCGCTGTCACAACCCTACACTTAATTAAACATTTGAAATCGACTCAAAGTCTTTGTTTTATTTACAACTCAAAATCATTTTTACAGTGCATGGTGAAATCTCATTGGTCTAAAATCTGGCTACACATAGTGGGGCATTTCAGCATCATGTATTGTTATTGGCTGTGATTATTTTCTTTATTTATTACTTCATTGTTCAACTCATCCGTCTTAGTTTTTGGACATGGTGTTGATGTTTTTGAACTTTTGATGTCACACTCTTTTGTGAAGTAACAGCCAGTCCTTCGTCTGCAGGGTTCATTCAGCTGATCATTACCTTCAAGAAGCCAAGAAACTGAAACACAACGCAGATGCTCTGGTGAGGGTTTGTTTACTGGCCTACGGTTCTCGACGTGCGTGTCAGATAATCTGCATGATATTTCTGTGACCCCCTGACCTTTTGTCTTAGTTCTACATTGAGAGCGACACAACAGGTGCTCTCCTCACACGAAGCACATGGGTCAGTTCTGTTTCTTTCTATAAAGGGGTTATCAAGCATCAAAACATGTTTAATGCAACCTTAATTTTTTTTTTTTCTGAGCAAAAAATAATGCCTATCATGCATTTTTATCATGATTTATAGAAGACACCCACTATGTCCACTATGTCATTCAGTGTAACAATAGTTCATATACTAAAAAAATCTTGTCAGGCCTATTTAAAATGTGTCATTCGATGACATTAAAAGACTCACAGTGCAGCCCCTAAAATACTAATTAACTGTAATTTACTTCTTTACCAGTATTTGCCACTCAGCAAGATATAATAGCATTTAGTATGATCACTTTTTCTTTTATGTATTCAAGGTAACACTTAACTCTCACTATTAACAGTTGTTTATTAGCATGCATATTACTAGCATATTGGCTGTTTATTAGTACTTATAAAACGCATATTAATGTCTTATTCTGCATGAGCATATTTTAGATCCCTTAATCCTACCTCATACCTAAACTAACAACTAACTTACTAAAAATTAATAAGCAGCAGATTAGGAGTTTGAGGCAAAAGTGAGAGTTAATAGTGAGAATTGGTCCCCAAACTAAAGTGTGACCATATATTTTAATAAGTACTGGGCAGTATAATTGTTTCACTTTCACATAAATATATTTGTTACGCTGAATGAAGACAGAACATTATTTCACCTATATTTTTGACATGTTGTTTAAAGCATTAAAAGTAATGCTTTACTTGCATTTAATATGCTTCCTATGTATGTAAATTAAATTTGATGGGGACTCCAAAATGGGACGTCTCGTCTTTGACCCATATGTCAAAAATATGTGTCAGAAGTAAATGCAGGCATGAAAGCTGAAAATAAAAAAAGACAATTGGTTGTCCTTTTATAGCACATCTTTGCATTCTCACACATTTCGTAACATAACGTGTGGAATGGAGCTTAGTGTGGAGTTAGTTTTGGCTCTGATGTGCGTTGTCCTTTCCACAGATGGACCGGTTTGAGAAAGCCGTGTACTACCTGGACGCTGTGGTGTCTTTCATCGAGTGTGGAAACGCCCTGGAGAAAAGTGCCCAGGAGGCCAAATCGCCCTTCCCCATGTACGCGGAAACCGTGGAACTCATCAAGTAAGTTGCCAGAATATGTCCTCCAGCGTCTCTCTTCATTGTGCTTTCAAAATTTGCTGACAGACGTGTGTGTTTGCGTGTTGTGCAGGTACACTATGAAGCTGAAGAGCTATCTGGCGCCGGATGCAACCTCTGCAGACAAAAGGCTAGCGGTGCTGTGGTACGTAGCAGAAACGCAGCAGTTCTGCACTTTTTAGGTCACCCATTTTCATTCACTGCAAGGCCAACCAATGCTCTCTAAATGAACACGAGGGAGAATATGAGGAGATAATCATCTTCATTGTGGACACAGTGAACTAATAATCGAATGGGTTGTGTTTTAAATCGATTCAAGTGCACTGAATTGTCGTGAAGACTGACTCATGGTTTATTTGCATGTATGCTTTCATAATCTTTATAATCTAAAATTTCCTACAGAGTGATGTTAAAGGAATAGTTCACCCAAAAATGAGAATCCTGTCATTATTTTCTCATAGTACACTTGAGTTTCTTTGTTCTGTTGAACACAAAAGAAGATATTTTACGGAATGTTGGTAACCAGACTATTTCCGGTCCCCATTGACTTTTTCTGTACTATGGAAGTCAATGGCTGCCATCAACTGTTTGGCTATCAACATTCTTCAAACTATCTTTTTATCTTCAAGGAAACTCGTACAGGTTTGGAACAAGTGGAGGGTGAGTAAATGATGACAAAATATTCATTTTTGGCAGACTATTCCTTCAAATGTATTGCCAATGTTTGATCCAGTTATAAAGTAAAGATAAAGTAAAAAAACAAAGTAAACCGAAGTTAATGTGGATCCAGTGTTTGGTAACCGGTGGCAGATCTAATCAGTGGATCCGTCTGTGTCTCTCTGCAGCCTGAGGTGCCAAGCGCTCCTGTATTTGAGGCTCTTCAAGCTACGCAAAGAAAGTGCACTGAAATACTCTAAAACGCTCACTGAACACTTGAAGGTAACGGGATTTTCTGTTTTTTATATTACGACTATAAGGTTGGCATGTCAAGGTTCGGTAACACTTTATTTAAAAGTGTCCTTGTTACACATGTTACATGTACTTACTATTATAATAACAATTAATTATGCATAATTACATGCAAGTAACCCTAAGCCAAACCCTAATCCTAACCCTGACCATATAGTAAGTGCATGTAGTTAATTAATATTACTAGGTACTTAAATGTATAATTACACTGTACGCTTTATTTTAAGGTGTCCTTGTTACAGTTTAAATGTTTTGAGTCTGTACGATTTTTTTTTTTAATGTTTTTGAAAGAACCAAGGCTGTTTTGTTTTGTTAAATATCATTATATTAATTCAATATTTTAAAATATTATTAAACTTTAAACTGATTTCTGTTTGAATTTAAATGTTTTATTGTAAAATGTAATTTATGTCTGTGGTGCACAGCTGTATTTTCAGCTTCATTCCTCCAGTCTTCAGTGTCACATGATCTTCAGAAATCAGTATAATATACTGCTTTGCTGCTCAAGAAACATTTCTATTACTTTACTGTCTTTAATGTGTCCTTGCTAAATATAAAAGTATTAATTTCATAAAAAAAAAATCTTACTGACCCCAAACTTTTTAACAGCAGTGTAGGTCTGAAATATCCAGTATGACAAAATTGGGTTAGGGTTAGGTTAGGAAAACCTTGAAACCCTTGTAGTATTTGTCCGTCAAAAGATTTCTATGATGTGAAATGTAATTGTTGTTGTTGTTGTAATCATAACATATACAAGATATATATTAACTAAGGTTTTATTTATTTATTTTTTCCAGAATTCGTTGAGTAATACCCAAGCTCCGTCTCCTGGAGTAGCAAAGTAAGTTACATTCATTTATATTATTATTGTAGATTGTGTAAATATTATAGAAATGTGAGGGTGTCCACCCACAACACCATAGCAACCGCATGTCAGTGTGTAACAACACGTTAGCAACATCCTGGCAACCACATAAAAAAATTTTTTTTTTTAAATGTAAAGTAAAAAAAATATATAGACCAATAGGTATTTCGCTCCACTTTTATATACCGGATCACAGGTTGTCATTACGCAATGACAAACCGTAAATAACTTGCAAATTAAAAAAATTGATATAAAATAGATTTTTATTTTTTTTTTGCACTTGCCTTTCTTTCTAAAAATGTGTTAAAACGTGAGGTTGTGCTATGTTCTCTTCTTGAAATATAAGCCAGTATTTCAAAATGCACGTTTAATGCCATACATTGCAAATAAAAATATAAAATATCTTCCACAGTATTTGTTTTTAGTTATAAATATTTAAACATCAAGATACATTAAATTATTGAAAAATATAACAAAATTATATGAGTTTATGCTTAAAGCAACCTTTTTTCCAAAATGATTTTTTTTCAGTTCATTGGCAGATATTTGTTTTTGTTTTAATCATAAACTCACTTCATTTTGATCAATTTCTCAAAAATCATTTCCTATCATTTCATTTAGCTTCTCAAGTAAATGTGAGGCTTTTGCACTGAAAGCAAGACAGATATACTGATGAAGAGCATCACTTTTTTTCAGTGTGAAAAGATGATACAGTAAATTCCATTTTCAATGTATTCTTTACATTATAAGTCTTAACTATACCTTCATAAAACCTGCAGAAACCCTGTACATATGAATAAACGTAGTTTTCATAGTTTATCTTGGTAGTTAGTCTGTGAAACACTTCCAGTGAGGACAGGAGGAATAGCTCTTCCTTGCGTCCTGACTCGGTCTCTTCTCTGTCCTCTGCGTCCTGCAGTAAAACGGCGGGAATGCCGTCTCCGGTCTCTCCTAAACTGTCTCCTGGAAGTGCGGGCAGCTACTCCTCCAGCAGCTCCAGCCAGAGCACCAGCTCCTCCGTCACCATCCCCCAGCGCATCCACCAGATGGCAGCCAGCTACGTCCAGGTCACCTCCAACTTCCTCTACGCCATCGAGGTGTGGGAGCAGGCCGAACAGCTCGCCAAAGAGCAGAGAGGTATTTGTTTTAACTTCTGCCTTTTTCCAAATAAAACCAAGTCCATCTTCCTGAAGCTGTACTGAGGTGCTTTTCTGACTCCACACATCTTTTCTGACTTTTCTTCAGTCATTCTGTTTCTAAGCAAGCAGGAAAGCATTGCATTGTCTGTTGTATTATTTGCTTACAGTATTGATAGATTTATATATAGATCTACTTTACCCATACAGTACACTCAGGTAAATCAATATATTCTAAATGTCAGCTGCTTGTTTTTTTTTGTTTTTTTTTACAAAATGTAATTATTAATGCAGAGCTTTTTATGGAAATTTGGATGTACAGTGCCGTTCAAAAGTTTGGGATCAGAATGATTTTTTAAATGTTTTTAAAGAAGTCTCTTCTGCTCATCAAGGCTGCATTTATTTGATCAAAAATACAGAAAAAAACAGTAATAATGTGAACTATTATTGCCATTTAAAATGCTGGTTTTCTATTTGAATATACTTTAAAATGTAATTTATTCATATGATCAAAGCTGTATTTTCAGCATCATTCCTCCAGTCTTCAGTGTCACATGATCTTCAGAAATCAGTATAATATGCTGATTTATTATCAATGCTGGAAACCGTTGTACTGCTTAATATTTTTTTGGGAACCTGTGATACTTTTTTTTCAGGATTCTTAGATGAATAAAAAGTAAAAAAGAACAGCATTTATTTAAAATACAAATCAATACACTCATATATATATATATATATATATATATATATATATATATATATATATTGTAAACATTTAATATTATGACTTTCTGTAAAAAACGGTGTATATTGTGAAAGACGCTTTATTTCTAACTCAATCTGACTTGATTCTGGCTCAGGATCTGTTCCTGCTCGTCTTGTGTCTCATGTGTCCTGCTGAATACTGCTCTTTTTCTTCCCAGCAAATGCAAGATTTATTTTTTCTTCCATGTCGTCTTTTTTTATTTCCTGCTTGCATGAATCCACATGTGAGCACCTGCTAAAGGACTGTCAAGTGTGACTTCTTCTTTGTTTTTTTCCCCGCAGAGTTCTTCTCTGAACTGGACAAGGTTATGAGCCCGCTCATCTTCAACACCAGCAGCATGACTGAGCTGGTGCGATTCACGCGGCAGGGCCTGCACTGGCTACGACTGGACGCCAAGCTCATACAATAGAGCGGCCCTATCCGCGCTCTATCCGTAGCCCAAAACACTCGCACTCGATCTGCCTCGGACATCTCTGTGACACTGTGTTCATTTCTACACCAGCTTGCCAAAAATGGAAGCACTCAGCGTCCCGCCCCTCCACCGCAAACCCTATGAATATTCATGAGAGGGGCGGCAGCCAAACCACACGTCTGTCAGAGCGCTCATACACTGCATCGTCCTGCTCATATCATCGGCTTGTTTGGCTAAAAAAAGCCTGGTTTCTTTCTCTGACTGTCTTTTTTGTTAATTCTCTGCTAGCTGTAAGCAAACAAGAATAATAATTGGATGTTTATAGCTTTTTATTTCAACCAAAGTACCTCCCTTTAACCAAAGGTGCTTTAAAATTGAGGTTTTATCATTTTATCGTGCCTTGTATTTGATATACAGGAAACTAACTATCTTGAAATACCCATCTAGAAAGGTTTGAAGCTGAAAGAACATCATGCAGCGCTTGTATACCAGACCAAAAGACTGTTCGGCACCATATCAAGGCATTATTACTAATCTGTTATTTAGGTTTTTGGCCTGGCTCATCCACAGACGCCACATCAGAGTAAGTCATGTTTAGAGCCTGTCTTATTTGTATATGTCACTACCACGAACACCCAGGCCGAGATTTTTATACGAAATGTAGCGCTCGCATAGGTGTCACTTTCTCACTCTTGCTTTTCTGGTATTAAACGCAGGAGTATTTTATTACCGTGAAAGATTTTATTTAGATAGCGGCAAATCGCTTCGTTCCAAGTTGCGTTTTCACTCTTGGGCATGGAAACAGGGTTGCAATACGAGATGAGAGACGTATTTCTATTGTATATGAAAATATCATATTTAAATATTTAATGTGAGTCTTGAGGTTGCCTTTATAGTGTCATAGTCACCTGTGTGTCGCAGTTCTTTTAAAAGACAGCAGTCATGTGAGGATATATTTATGTGTTCTGTTGAGAATAGCAGTTTATGTATGTACATAGTCATTTTAGCACAGCAATCCATACACGCAGTAAATCAGATCGAACCTTTGATATGTTTCGCACCAGAAAGAGGAAGGTGGTAAAGTGAGAAATCAATCCGCCGTATATGAAATGCTGGACACTTAGCGTCTCTTGCACTAGGATCTTTCCTCTAATTGGCTCCTAAACTGTTTTTTTTCTTCTTCTTCTGTCTATGCAGATGTTTTTCTTGCTCGTTTGTGCAGTAGCTAACGAGGACTCCTGCCAATCGAAATTTTCATCAGTTAAAACCGAAACTTCTAGAGGTTAAACATTTAATGGCTGGCGACTAGATATATCACTGATGCGCTACCTTGCAGAATACATCGTTTTGATTTAGAGAGTCAGTAAATACATTGTGCTTTAGGGGTGAGGTCTGATAATTGTGCTTTTATGTAAATGAATCCATGCACTAATGTGATTTATGTACCAGATTCATGATAAGAAGGCAACTGCATATGAATATGGGTTGTTAAAATGATTTTCCCATGGCCTTTTTGCTTCTCCAGACATGGTTGTTGTGCTGTCTGTTTTTATCTTTTCTACTAGAATTCAAGGTAGTGCTTTTAGAGGTGACTGATTGATTTAAATCCATCTTTAATTTTCTTTTTGATCATAATAACTGTACCCAGGGTGAGAGGTTTTTTTGTCCAGTTGAAAAATAACACTCGCATGTTTCTATTTAAATACTAAGCTGTACAGATGTACATAAAAATGCTCTTTTAGGGTAAATTTTTACAGTGATTTAACATTTGTATTAATTGTAAATAGAATGTGAATATATTAAATGCACATTTTCATTACTGAAGATTTGTTTTTCAACAGAACACTGTATGTTAGTGAAGTCATGTTCAGAGTCCCTGTGCTATAGGAACAAGGCTTTCTGTCATTTAAATGGTGATGTTGAAATGGGCTAAATGCAGTTGACTAGAAGAAAGATCTGCCATTATTGACACAGGACTGCTGTCTAAACTTCAAGAGAGAGGAACGTCATTGTTTTGAGCGGTTCTAGATGTCTCTATGTAGTACTCATTTTCGAGTGATCTCAAAACGATCATTGGCAAGCAGTATAAAATCAATTTAGTTTTAAAAGTATTGACAAGATGAAATCTACATATATATATATATATATATTCATATATGGATGCAATATGATCTATGATTTAAAGGTACTCTTATGAGCCTCGGTTATCCAAACTTGTAATAACTTGTAATTTAAACACTTTTTTTTTTTTTTTTTTTTTTTTTTTTTGGTGAAGTGAGTATTACTAATGGATTTTCTGAGTCTGTTGCGAATCATCTTTGTATTTTGCTGTATTGAGAATAAAATATATATGATTCAAGAGTTTTGACTGTGGTTTGGATTTCCTTTCTTTCTTTTAAAGTGTTTTTGAGCATGGATGTGAACCTTAATTTAGCGTGAGGGACACACTATGAATTTTGATGCATTGATGGTGAAAGAAATGCCCCAACAAGTGTCCGAACGGTCCGGTGCTTCAGCATTTTAATCTCCTTTTTACAGCTCACTTTAATGATTTGTTATGCGACAAATGGAGGTTTAGAAGTAGGCAGTATTCTATGCAGTCTGAAATCATAGGAGGTTTAAAGCCGTGCTGGAACTAATTGTCAATTCTAGCAGTGTTGGGGAAAGCTACTTTTAAAAGGGATGCATTACAATATTGCATTACTCTATAAAAAGTAACTAATTCTGTCAGTTACTTTTTATGGAAAGTAATGCATTACGTTACTTTTGCGTTACTTTTTGTCACCTGGGCTGGGCTTGCTTGTATGCATTTTAATAACAAAAACCCCCAAATTATATTTTTGACAACTATAAAGGCTTTTTCAAGCCAAAGGTGAAATGAATAAGCCTCAGCCTAAAGCAAGTGCCTCTTCCACTGCACTTCCTCCCGATTTCACGGGACAGGAGACGTGTCGGTAAATAATCAATTTTGTTGTAAATTTTAAAGTAATGCGTTACTTTACTAGTTATTTGAAAAAACCATCACTGAATTCTAATTAACCCCTTAACTGTCACCCCCCATTTTTTTTTAAAAAGGCATGCAGGTGCACTATCCAAACTTAAATTGTTGTAATTTATGAACACTTTGGAATACAGTCATAAGGTTTGTCTCTTTTTAAAGAAGAAAATCAGTGGAATTTTTTCAAAAAATGTAAGTATCAAAAAGTTATAGTAGTTTAAATTTACTGTAAAGAAAATGCACCATATTAATTTTATTTTATATATAATAAATATTTTACATATCAGGTTTTACTCTAAAATTGGTATAAAATTATAGCCTTATGTCTAAAGTTATGTTCCAAATTTGAAGTTGATATGAAAAATTGGAGGTTCCTGTGAGATTTTATTTAGGGCGTTATACCACAAAAAGCCACCGGGTGCCATCCAAACTCCTTTGATTTTTTTTATGCATTTTTCTGTCACAGATGTCTAGATTTCTCTGTCAATATCTCAAAATAACCACCTAATATGGAATCCTGAGAAAATTTTTTTTTTTTTTTTTTTTTTTTTGGTGAAGTGAGTATTACTAATGGATTTTCTGAGTCTGTTGCGAATCATCTTTGTATTTTGCTGTATTGAGAATAAAATATATATGATTCAAGAGTTTTGACTGTGGTTTGGATTTCCTTTCTTTCTTTTAAAGTGTTTTTGAGCATGGATGTGAACCTTAATTTAGCGTGAGGGACACACTATGAATTTTGATGCATTGATGGTGAAAGAAATGCCCCAACAAGTGTCCGAACGGTCCGGTGCTTCAGCATTTTAATCTCCTTTTTACAGCTCACTTTAATGATTTGTTATGCGACAAATGGAGGTTTAGAAGTAGGCAGTATTCTATGCAGTCTGAAATCATAGGAGGTTTAAAGCCGTGCTGGAACTAATTGTCAATTCTAGCAGTGTTGGGGAAAGCTACTTTTAAAAGGGATGCATTACAATATTGCATTACTCTATAAAAAGTAACTAATTCTGTCAGTTACTTTTTATGGAAAGTAATGCATTACGTTACTTTTGCGTTACTTTTTGTCACCTGGGCTGGGCTTGCTTGTATGCATTTTAATAACAAAAACCCCCAAATTATATTTTTGACAACTATAAAGGCTTTTTCAAGCCAAAGGTGAAATGAATAAGCCTCAGCCTAAAGCAAGTGCCTCTTCCACTGCACTTCCTCCCGATTTCACGGGACAGGAGACGTGTCGGTAAATAAATGGGATAACAAAATAATCAATTTTGTTGTAAATTTTAAAGTAATGCGTTACTTTACTAGTTATTTGAAAAAACCATCACTGAATTCTAATTAACCCCTTAACTGTCACCCCCCATTTTTTTTTAAAAAGGCATGCAGGTGCACTATCCAAACTTAAATTGTTGTAATTTATGAACACTTTGGAATACAGTCATAAGGTTTGTCTCTTTTTAAAGAAGAAAATCAGTGGAATTTTTTCAAAAAATGTAAGTATCAAAAAGTTATAGTAGTTTAAATTTACTGTAAAGAAAATGCACCATATTAATTTTATTTTATATATAATAAATATTTTACATATCAGGTTTTACTCTAAAATTGGTATAAAATTATAGCCTTATGTCTAAAGTTAGGTTCCAAATTTGAAGTTGATATGAAAAAAATTGAGATTTTATTTAGGGCGTCATATCACAAACAGCCATCCAAACTCAATTAAATTTTTTTAAATGCATTTTTCTGTCACAAATGTCTAGCTTTCTCTGTCAATATTACTTCTATCTCAACATCCTGAGACTCGGACCTTTCCAATGATATGCTTTTTGTCAAGATTATAAAAAGTTTTGATTCTAAAAGACCGTAATTCATTTTGTAATATGACACTTGACACCGCCCACTAAAGGGGAGGAGACCGCCAAAAGATTTTAAAGTACCATTTCCATGGTAACGCAATGTCCAATTTCAAAATGGTTGGATGAATCTTGGGCTTCTAAGCTTTCAAATTATATATGATTTATAACGTTTACTAAAATATTTGATAGAGAAAAAGGACAACAAAAAAAGAGCGCCAAGCGTCCCACAGGTGGGACGGTGACAGTTAAGGGCTAAACCTGACTGCCTCTATTAGAAATCTTATAATGGGTCGTGGTTGGATCTTCCATCAGGACAATGAACCATAACAAACATCAAAATCAGCACAAAAATGTCTCACTGAGCACAAAATTAAGCTTCTGCCATGTATTTTCTGCTATAATGGAAAATCTCAAATTAGTAAAATTTTTAGAGCTGAGTAACTTGACGTGATTAAATTTTTTTTTTTGCCTGCCAAAGTTCAGTGACATGGAGACTTGTATGTCATTATAAATTGTTAAAATCGTAGTTTCGGACCATTTGTCTTGTAACATTATTTTTATCAGTTTTACTCTATTCCCAGAGTTTGAGAGAGAGAGAGAGAGAGAGAGAGAGAGAGAGAAATAGAGATTCAATTCAAAGTTATTAAACTTTGATTAAAAAGCCAATAACTGAAGTTTTCAATTTTAGTGGCTTCAAACTTCTATTCCTAATTCGTAAATCTAAATGTCAACTTTTGCTGTCCACAAACTTACTGAACTCATCCAAGCCATATTAAAATGGAGATTTATTTAAC